GAATAATAGAATACTCAACAGCAAGTCTAGAATTCTTGATGTAATAATTTCCTCTGAAAATATTGTCAATACTATTTCACATAACATTCATCCTCTTGTGGTAGAGGATGGTTATCATCCATCTTTATTAATGACATTTCTTGTTAATATATCTTCTGTTGCCAAATTAGTACCAGACACTCAAAATTTTATGTATAATTTTCGAAAAGCCGATTTCGTTGGGCTATATCAAGCGATTAATTGTTGGAACTGGGATGATATACTTTCTATCCAAGACATAAATGTTGCATGTATTTGTTTTAATAATGTCATCTTACAGCTTTTCGATACTTATGTTCCTAAATATAGGAAAACTAACAAGAAATATCCACCCTGGTTTACTCTTAACATCATTAAGTTATTAAAAGATAAAGAACGTCATTGGAGAAGGTTTAAAAAATCGGGCCTTTTGTCTCAGAAAGAAAAAACTAAAAAACTGGAGTATGAAATTAAAATTCTAATCAAGCAGGAGTTCGCAAAGTTCATTATTTCCTCGGAAATTGAAGTCAGATCTGATCCTTGTAAATTTTGGTCGTATATCAATGCAAAAAAGAATACATCAAGGATTCCGGGTATAATGAAAGTGGAAGATTGTGTGTTGTCCAATCCACAGTCTGTTGTTAATGGGTTTGCAAAACATTTTTCCAGTGTTTTCAAAAGTGAAGAAGTTTTTGTCTCATCGAGTTGTGATAATAACTGCTGTGATGAAAGTTTCTGTTCTTACGACTGTGATAGTTTTCTTGGCTGTGATTCTAATGCACCAGTTTTACATAATTTTAACATTAGTGAGCGTGATATTAGTAATGCTAGTCGTAAATTGAAATCTAATTTTACTATGGGTACTGATAATATACCAGCGTTTTTCGTCCGTGATTGTATTTCATGTATTTTAAGTCCCTTGTGTCATTTATTCAATTTAATAATTAAGTCATCGAAATTTCCTGATCTCTGGAAAATAGCAAAGGTTTGTCCAGTTTTCAAATCAGGATCTAAATCAGATATTAAGAACTACAGAGCGGTAGCTGTTATTCCAAATTTTGCCAAATTATTTGAGACCATATTGTGTAATGTCGTGTATAATCATGTTGAGCATCAGATCTCCCATACTCAACATGGATTTGTAAAAGGTAGATCAACATGTACAAATCTCTGTGAATTCACGCAGTTTGTTTCGAGCTCGTTAGATATTAGACACCAAGTTGACGTTATTTACACAGATCTGTCAAAAGCTTTCGACAAAGTTAATCATAACACTATGTTGCGTAAATTAAGCTCGGTTGGTCTGTGTGATAATTTAGTTATGTTGTTCAAGTCTATACTTTTACGTCAAAAACAATATGTTGAATACTGTGGACATAAATCTTTTGTTTATGAATGTAATTCTGGAGTAGTACAGGGTTCGAATTTAGGACCTCTATTATTTATTATATATATAAATGACATAGTTAATTTTATAAGTCCTGATTGTCGCGTTTTCTTGTATGCCGATGATGTTAAATTGGTTAAAGTAATAAGATGTGTAAACGACTGTATTATGTTACAGCAGAACCTCGATAACATGTTAAATTGGTGCTCTAGAAACTCGTTGTCTGTTAATAAGGATAAATGCCGTATTATGACTTTTAGTCGTAAAAACTATAATATTACTTTTGATTATAAAATTAAGGAGTTGCCACTCAGTAGATGTTATGAATTTAAAGATTTAGGTATAATAGTAGATCCCAGATTATCATTTATACTGCATATTAATTATATTACTGTAAAGGCAACTAAGACATTGGGATTTATTGTTAGAAATACTAAGGAATTGCGTAATACGGAATGCATTATGTTGTTGTATTATTCCTTTGTAAGATCTCTATTAGAGTACTGTTCGGTTATTTGGAATCCCTACTATAATATACATATAACGACTATAGAACGACTACAACGTAAGCTTTGCAAATATGTCTATTTTAAAAAGCATGGATTTTATCCAGTCCAAAATTATTCACAGGATGTATTACTTAGGGAATTGAATGTAGTCTCACTTTGTAGGCGTAGAGATTATTATTCTCTTATGTTCTTATATAAAATCTTGCATAATGTTATACAAGATAGTGAGTTATTATCTCAAATTTGCATATTAGTTTCTGAAGCTAATGTTAGAAATCCGATGATATTTCACATTGATTTTGTTAATTCGAATCAGCATTTTCATTCACCTGTACCTTATATGCTTCGACTATATAATAAGTACAGACTGTATTTAGACATTTTCGGGATGAGTTCAAATGAATTCTGCATGCAGTGTAAAAAAATATGTTTTACTTAGTTAAGGTGTATCAGGTTTATTTCTGCGTTTTTGAACGTCTACTCGCTATGGCTTTACTGTATTTGTGTTTATTTTAAGTAATCATGTTATATGTTTTTGTACTATTTTTTCCTTTTAGGGCTTCTGCCCGTTGGACATTAAATTCTTATTATTATTATTATTATTATTATTATTAATATTATTATCAAAAACAGCACTAATAAATGTTTAAATTCTTTTTCTATAATGTCAACACTAATAAAATAGCAAAGAGATATTTTTATTAACCGCAATAATATTTTAATATTTCAAAATCGAAATATTCATCGCCGCTGCCACTGCTTGCACGATATTTGTAAGGCCAAACCAAAACAATGTTCTGCGCACTCCCACCACCTGTACCCTTTCGTGTTGAAAGCTGCTCTATTTTTAATTGACGTCTGACTTATTTTACAATTGTTTTTTATATAATACAAATGCCCGCCACTGTAATTAATAACTTACGACAAGCGTGCACACTTTTAACTGCACAGTCGTCCGTCTCTGTGTGTGGCCGCCTTAATTGAACTGCAGCGTAATATATATACCGGGTGTCCCACGTAACACTTTCGGGCGCAATAACTCAGGTATTTTTATGAAATTTAAAACAGGTGTAATATACTAGGTAAAGATTAGGCTGGTAACAGAAAAAACTATTTTATCGTACAAAAAACGAATTTGAACACAGCTTCCTGTTGTTACAAATTATACAAAATTGCGTTATAACTTTAAGCAACTAAAACAACGCCTGTGTGTGAAAAATTAATTAAATCGCTGTTTTTGTTTAAAAGAATTACGTTAATAAGAACGCAAAAATTACTATATTTTTTTTAATTTAATAGTGTTGTCGGTGCAAACAATTGCTTGCGTCGCCGAGTTCAATTTTGTACACCTCTGACATTTTTGTCAAAATCTGACAAGTTATTGAAAATGGTTCGCTTGTCTTTAATTATTAATACAGAAATCATTTTAACCTACCAAGAATGCCGTGCAGACTTAGATGAAACAATTAGGACTCTTATCGAACGATATCCCGATGACGAATTTACCAAATTCAAAGTATAGCGAATAATAAACTTATTTGAAGATACGAGAAATGTTCAAGACCTAAAACGAGTGAAAAAAAACAAGGTATTAAATAGACCTAGCAAAATTATTTCCATTCAAGTTAGAATTAATTCCTAAAACAATTTTGGACCTTCGAAAAGGTTGTAGTGGAGCAACTGAAATTAGTATTTTCTTAAAATTCATAAAATAACGCTTGGCAAACAGGCATCAAATTCCCACAAGGGTGTCCAAAATGCAAGGATAGCAGTTTTTTGTTTCGTAGCTACCTATCCTTTAATACTTTTTGGAATTTTTTGCGCAATAATTTATCGTTTTCTGGCTTACCAGACGTATTTCGGAGATGATTTTTTTCCGTACAGTATTTATTTCTCATGTTTAATCAAGTGATGCAAAACTTAATTAATTCAAAATTAAATTAAGGAATGGAAAATTTACTTTTTCAAGATAATGATTATTCTCACCGATTCATATTAATCATTACCTATCAAAATATTTTCATAACAATCCATTGGAAAATGCTTGAGTTATTGCGCCCGAAAGTGTTACGTGAGACACCCGGTATATTACCTGCTAGTGCTGGTATTAAATTGCTAAAATCGCGTTACCTATGGACACTGTTGATTTCTGTGAAATTTGACATTTCATAGTTTTCAGTCAAAAGAGGCGTCATGAGCGATCCAGAAAGTGAATTGGGTAAATACAGAAATTATTGAATTTGTAATTTCGATAAATAAAATTTGATTATGTAATTTTAATTATTTTTTTGAAATTTTAATTTTTCGTATTAGTCGTAGTCGTACACAACTCGAGTGGTAAGCGATTTACACCACTCGCTGCGCTCGTGGTTGCAAACTTCTATATAGGTCGTGTGTAATAGGCTCCTTAGCACTTTTAACATTATTATAACAGTTTTAAAATGGAAGGAAAAAAGTTGCAAAAAAAATCTTCTGTTGAGTCAAACATAAAGCTATGTATGACACACGTGAGTAATGCCTTTTTTTTGGACTTGCTCTTTTATTAGTCTAGCGAGTAAGCTCGCTCGGTCATAAAAGGGCGCGTCCAATAAAGGTATGCATTATTTACTTGTTGTTACACAAGTAGCTATTATATAAAAAAATCTGTTAACCGGTCGCTCTCTCCCAATTTTTTGTAATAATTGAATAAGTTAAATGTTGTGAAGTAATTTAAGTGATAAAATTACAATTGTAAATTACCAATAATCAACTTGTTTATATAAGAACAATCAATAAATACAAATTTATCATTTTAAAATCAGGCTTATTTAACAAATTAACTTAAGTTTCAATACTGCCAAAGCAACATTAAAAATGTTGTGTTTTGACAAACAAATGTTGTCATGAAACATTGTTTCTCATTCTCATAGTTGTATAAAAAATAATTTGGTTATTTATGACTACAAAGTCTGTATGGCCCTTTTTCCTTATGCTGAACCGGTTAATATTATTTGAGTTGATTATACAAGATTTGAAATTACCGATCGTATTAAATGTACCTATACATTTTTTTAAATTTTAAGGTAATCTCTTACATGTTTTTCCAGAGCCGTTGCTAGGACAGCATGGCGCGCAAAAGGGGAACATGATGGCACACGATGGCTCCCCTTTCCTGATACTGGCAAGCCTACTGGGCCTGGTCGTTTTAGCTCAAGACAGCAAATGCCCTACACTTGCTGCTAATCCATCCTGTCCCTGTTTCAATTTCGAAGATGGCATTTTTTTGGAATGTCCAGCAGCCACTGCCAACTCCTTGCGTTCTGTTCTGCGGATGGTGTCGGGACCAATTCAATCGCTCAGCATTTATGACCTGGATAGAACCATCGCAAAACTCACTCCAGACTTCTTTCCTGAGGGTTCTGTGATCAAACACTTACAGATATCACAATCCAACCTCGAAGAAATACAGGGCGATTGTTTGATAACAATTAAACCGGAATTGGAATCTCTCAGCTTGGTTTCCGGAAAGTTACGCGAGATTCCACAAAAAGCTTTCACAGGTTTAGTGAAACTCATTGCTTTGGATTTGGAATCGAACGAAATCAATGATTTGCCAAGTTACAGTTTTTATGGACTTCGGTTGATTAAACTGAACATGAAAGGCAATCAAATTCAAAAAGTATCAGAGTATGCATTCGCAGGGTTAGAGGATTCACTTTCGGAATTAGATTTAGCAGAAAATAAATTGTTAAATTTTCCAATGACGGCGTTTAGAAGATTAGAAAGGTTAAAATTATTAAGACTGTCTTGGAATCAGATAAGTTCTATACCAGATGATGGTTATTCTCGACTAGATTCACTTCTGTTCTTAGATTTAAGTTCGAATAATTTTGAAAAACTGGCCGAAGACTGTTTTCGACCGTGCCCCTCCGTCCGTACATTGTCTCTATATTACAATGTAATAGAATCCGTGCATCTCGACGCTTTTGCTTCTTTAATACACCTCGAATCTCTCGATTTAAGCCACAATAAAATCGTGTTTCTGGATGCAGCCACGTTTCACACGAACAAACAACTACGTTCTATCGATCTAAGCCACAACCATGTACATTATATTAGTGGTGTATTTGCATCCTTACCAGACTTAAAAGAACTTTTTCTTTCTGAAAACAACATCCTAGAAATCCCATCGGACGCTTTTACAGATTCAACGAACTTATCCGTAATTTACCTCCAGCAGAATGCAATACGTCGTATAGACCCTGAAGCTCTATTAACGTTAGCAAATTTAGCACAATTACATCTCAGTTCAAATTTTGTTCCACATATTCCTCGAAATTTGTTCCAACAGAACCGCAATCTTACATCTTTGAGCCTAGACAGCAACTGGATATTGGATTTGGAGCCTGGGACTTTTGATAAAACAATCAGCTTGAGGGAAATTCGTTTGCACAATAATCGCCTTCAGGGTGTACATCGCGGTGTCTTCGATCCTTTGCCATCTTTGTTGGAGTTGCACTTACAGAACAACGAGATCGCTTCCATAGATTCGGGGGCTTTCCACACCTTGCAGAGTCTACAACACGTTAACCTGCAGGGAAACGTCATTTCGGAACTTGGAGACGTGTTCATGCATGAATCGCCGTCGTTAGTTTCGATACAGTTAGATTCGAATAGTATAATTTCATTACATAACGATTCCCTTAGAGGCCAATCAAGTGTCCAGATCATGTGGCTGGGACACAACCGGCTGAAAAGATTGGATAGTGCATTGTTCAGGGACCTGCTATTGATTCAACGCGTCTATCTCACCAATAATAGCATTTCAGTTATCGAAGATCGCGCCTTCGAGCCGATGCAAGCCCTCAAGTTTCTCGACCTGGGAATGAACCAGCTTAGAGAAATTAGTAGAAGAACCTTTGCCGAGCTGCATGAGTTGGAGGAATTGAATTTGTCGTACAACGTGATTGCGAAAATCGAGCCACGAGCGCTCACGAATCTTAAGAAATTGAGGGTCCTAGACTTATCACATAACTTCTTAACGGTACTTCACGACACAATTTTTCAAGAGGCATTGCCTATAAGAGTTCTTAATTTAATGAATTGCTCGATATCTGTAATAGAACCCGGCGCCTTTAAAGGTCTCAACAATTTAAACGAACTCAACTTGAACGCTAATGAGCTGATTTCACGAGATTTGGGACATCTAGATATTCCCGGTTTAAGGGTATTGAAACTATCCAACAATAATTTTAGTGATTTGTTCGACACGGCTCTCAACGGCCTACCCTCCCTCCAAGTGATTGCACTTGACGGTTGTCATATAGAAAAACTCCCACACAACATATTCCTCAAGAATAAGAACTTGCTTAAAATTGATCTCAGCCACAACTCCATCGCCGAACTAAAACACGACATTTTTCTCAATTTAAACGTATTCAAGGACCTAAAAATCACCGCAAATGTTTTCAAAGAACTACCCTATACAGCCTTATTGAATATTTCAACTATGGAAATTTTATCCATTTCTCACAATAAAATCACGTCCATGGATATTTCGCGCCTCAACGGCTTACCTAATTTGAAAGAATTGGATTTAAAAAACAACCTAATCTCATCGCTGACGGGTTTCGCATCTTCAAATTTAACGCAGGTGCTTTCGGTGGACTTGAGTGGTAATTCTTTGTCCGCATTGCCCGCCAACTTCTTCCATCACTCGCCGTTAATGCGTAGGATGGATCTTTCGCGGAATCGATTCCGACAGATTCCAAACTCTGCGCTCTCAGGAAACACTTTACCAGGTCTGACTTGGCTTAATCTAACGGGAAATCCATTAATTCGTATCCACGACATCTCAACCGCCCACCGATACCCTTCTTTGGAAGAGATCCACATCAGTCATACCAACCTTACCATCATTACCAGCATAGATTTCGAGAACTTTCCTGGATTACTGCACGTTCATCTTGGTTTCAATCGCATTTCAAGGATTTCACCCGGCGCCTTCGGAAATTTGCCACACCTGTTGACACTAGACTTGGGTGTCAATGAAATAGAGCTACTGCCTCAAGAACGTCTTCAGGGACTCAACAACTTGAGAGTGCTTAATTTGACTCATAATAGACTCAAAAATTTGGAAGAGTTTCCTAAAGATTTAAGGTCGTTACAAATACTGGATATTTCGTTTAATCAAATCGCCAGAATTAGTAAAATCACTTTCCAGCATGTGGAAAATCTTGCCGAGTTGTATTTGTACGGAAACTGGATTACATCGGTATCCAGTGAAGCTTTCAGACCACTAAAAAAGTTGAGGACGTTGGATTTGAGTAGAAATTATCTTGAGAATATTCCTCTGAATGCTTTTAGGCCTCTGGAAACGCAAATAAGAAGTCTTCGTACTGAAGGTAAAGTAGCAATTACATAAATACCTGCGAAAATTTGTAAAGAATTGTAACAGTCACTTGGATTACCAATCCAGAAAATACTGTTTTGCGAGTATGAGTGATATTACAGAGCCGATAATATAATTATCGTAATAATAATTATTGATGATTGATAGGTGTTAATAAAGATCATTTTCTCTCAATAATTTTGATTATGATGTTGATAACGGTTAAATGAATTTGATAATTATTCTGATTAATGCAATAAGTTTGATAACGAAATGATTTATCTGTACACCATAGGGCTATCTCTTTTCCTCTTATACGTTCGGGTATAGTTTATTAAATAGTAAATTCGTATATTGCATACATACAATTATAGCAGATTTTTTTTTTATTTTGGCAAGGTGTTGTAAAACTGTATCAATTACGACATCCTGTATATTTCTGTTTCTGTCTTCATGCGACACACTGTATTTACGCACGAAAAGAATGTCAGCACTTTCTTACAAAGGAAAGAATACATACATATGTAGCAACAAACATACCGCTTTATGACATATTGCCAAAATTAAAAAAATTTTACTGTTATCACCAATTCTTTGAGCTAATTAGCTGAACCAACCAACCAAATTTTTAAGTCGTCTTACTAAATAAGTTACAATAATATTTTATTTTTCCTTACGCTTTAATTACAGTTCTAACGAGATACACTGTTGGACAAAAGTAGCGTAACAAATCAATTTTTTTTAACAAACTTTCCCAAGTTTATAGAGTTAACTTATTTATTGAGTTAGTGTAAGTGAAACATTTCCTTCTCCATTTGAGCTGTTTGTTGTACAAATTTAATAGATTTTTCCTAACATTGATTGGACAAAATATTTAACATTCTAAAATTGCAGTAAAAATTTGTACGAGAAAAGTAAAGCCACAAATGCATATGTCATTTTTTATTTATTGCTTTACTTTTGACGCTTTATCACTGTCCCTTTTATGATAACAATAAAATTGAACCCAGTGGTTTTTATTGTTTTGAATCTATGAACAGCCTACTATAACGTTTCAAAAGTAATAATAGTGAGTTTGCGCTAGACGTTTTTACGTTATAAATTATAACGGTTTTTTTCTTACAACATAGTGTAAGCAGAAAAAGCACAAGCTTTTTTGCGCATAAACGTTCATAATGTACCATTTTTGACACTTTAAAAGTTAATAAAGAAATTAAAATAGAAATCCAATCTATAGACAATCTCTCACTCTGTGATGAAGATGATATAAATCATATCACTGAATATGTGCTATACAAAATGAAAGAAGATGCATTACAAGAGAAGCAGAGGTTGTAGAGTTGTGTAGCATTCAATATTGAGAGTGTTCCAAACAAAAATTTCCAATATTTGTATCGTTTCGAGTAAGAAGAGCACTTGATTGAACTTTATGGTGCTCTCAAAATGCCCCACCGTTTTGAAACTCATGATAGACATGTCATTACTGGTTTGTTACACAAAGAAACGTACAGAACTTTTCTAAAATTTGTAAATTTCGTCTTTTTTTTACGATTTCCGGAAAAATTTAATACAAAACACGTCCTGTAAAATCTCTTACTTGAAATTGAAATTGAAATCGGACCACAAAGTGCATCGTATTTCAATTTAGCTCCTCTTCAGTAATGTAAGATTTTCCTGACTTTTTTTAAATAACTATTGAATAAACAACAAAATGTAACCACGACAGGGAAACATCTCATGCAAACGCGATCAGCTCAATCTTTTGAAAGCAAATTGCCTGATTTAACTGTTTTCACTTTTTGGGTCAATGGACAGAAATCGATAAAACTTTGAACATACCATGGATGAAACAGTGTCATAAAACAGCCTTAAATGTCTCAAAATCTTCGCTATCGCTCGAACTGACATTTGTGGCTGTTATGACATTTATTACATCCTATGTATGTTAATGACCATCAATAATTTTATTTCGAACTTAATATATAGTATCTACTTATATAACGATACAAGGTCGAAAACGAGCAAATAACGGACGCGGTTGAAGTTTGTAAACCGAGGCGAAGCCGAGGTTTATTATTTTGGGTTTCGAAAAAAAAATTCAAATTCCAAAAAATAGCAAGCCATATTTTGAGCTTCGTTACCATGCATTAGTTTATAAATAAAATATAACTTCATAACAAATTGCTTATTATTGTAAAAGCGTAACAGCCGTTGGCCGTTATGGATGACTTTTCTTTTGTCATTTGAGTTCCGTAATAGTAATTTGCGTTATATGTCCTGTAAACTCGTTTTTACAGTAACAAGTCGAAATGTTTACGGACGAGGCGACGAAGGAACCGAGTCAGTAATTTTGAAACGAGTTCCTGTAAAAGTTTACCGGACGTATGTCGTAATGAGTATTATTTGATACTGCAAGCACTAAATCATTGTTTAAATTTGAAAAAAAAAATTTTTTCGAATTGAAAATATGATCATCTACACTTGCGACCATTGAAATCGAGCCACAAATCTGGCCACTATTCACATCTGACTTTGAATCAAATTTTCCTCCGAACTATATTAAACTTAAAGAAACTGTTAGAATAAGTATTTGTAAATTTTATGTTTGGTTGTTTTTTGTCGGGACTCGAATGACGTCAGACGCAGCAAAGCGGATGCAGGTGTCTCACTCCTTACTCTTTGTTTTGTTACTGTTGCGTTGGAATGTAGTTTAAGTCTGACTCTGGTTGTCGTCGCATGAAGACGTTACAATGAAACTAGACAAGTTTTATTCTACCCTATTATTTTAGCCACTTCCACAGTATTCATAGGTTATGGCCCCAAGTACGTTGGCTAAGCCCTTTGAGTGAATAGAATAAAAAAAGTCACGTTTGAGTCGTGCGTGTCTAGTGGTGAGAGTGTTTATCGAAATACGCGATGGCGGTTAAACTAGAGTGCGGGAGTATTCCTAAATTTGATGGGTCAACTATGGAAATTCGGTATAACCATCTTGCTAAAAGCTGCAAAGTTGATGCGTATTGTGGACGGCACCAGCGTGGAACCAGTAGATAGAACTACAGCAGACTGGAAAACATGGGATGAGAAAAATTCAAGGCCACAAGTCATTTTGTTATCGACGATAACTCAAGGTCAAATACAATATTTGACAAATTGCGAAACTGCAGCAAAGATGTGGAAGAGATTATTAGCAATTCATGAACAAAAGACCGGGATTTCGAAAGAATTATTATGGCAGAAAGTTTATGAATATAAAATGCCTGAAGGTGCAAAAATTGCCGAGCATATTTCGGCTATTGAACTTCTTGTCAAACAACTGAAGGATGTCAACGAAGCTATCAGCAACAGTGCAGTATGTTCGAAGGTGATCAACAGTTTACCTACAAGTTTCAGTGCATTTCGAACTGCGTGGGATTCAGTTGCAATCGAAAATCAAACATTTGAGAATCTAACGGCCAGACTTTTGAAAGAAGAAACAAGAACGGGAAATAATGAAAGCGAAACAACGCGTTTAGTTTTAGAAGTAAAAGCCTTACAGAGCAAACTGGAAGCCGCGAGTTTTGGAAAGAAGAAGAAAAACATCAACGAAATAAAGGAAAACACGAGTTGTCATTATTGTAAGCAAAAAGAGCATTGGGCACGAGAGTGTAGAAAAAGATTCGCAGAAATGAAAGAACAAGAAAACAAACCTAGTGAAGATGCTGCCTACATTTGTGACATATCCGCCCTATATACAATGAGCTCAAACATCGAACAGACAGAATGGATTTGTGACTCAGGTGCGAGTGTCCATATGACAGGTCAAAAAGAATGGTTTACTGTATTGGAACCAACAGATAAACCCATGCATATAAACATTGCAGATGACACGATTCCTAGAGCCGCGGGAAAAGGAACGAAAGAAATTCAAACTCGTATTGACGGACAGTGGCATGATTGAACCATGTATAATGTCCTATATGTGCCAGGCTTGAAAAGAAATGTATTTTCAGTGGGAGTTATGACCGACAGAAATTTTACGTCAGTCGACTAAAAACAGATGTGAATTTAGAAACAGAAAAGGAGAAGTGTATTGGTGTGCGACACAAAAATTTGTGGGTGATGAAACTTAGAGTTAAGAATTTTGCGGAGTGTAACATCGGCAAGAAAGCTTCGATGAAATTATGGCATGAAAGATTTGGGCAGATAAATTGTAGATCAATCAAGAAAGCGGTTGACAGAAAAATGGTAGAAAATCTAGAAATTGACGGTAATGACGAATTCTTTTGTGAATCTTGTCAATTTGGTAAGCAAGCCTGAAAATCGCACAAAAGGTTGAACAGAGATAAAGCGACAAAACCGGGTGAAATGACACACACGGATGTTTGTGGACCTGTAAATATCGCATAGCCCAGTGGTTCAATATACTTTGTTTTATTCAAGGATGATTGCAGTGGCTACAACACGGTTTATTTCTTGAAGCAAAAATCAAAAGTGCTCGATAAATTTAGGCAGTTTAAAATTCTCCTTGAAACGCAGACCGGAAATCTTTTAAAAATTGTGAGAAATGATCAGGGAAAAGGTGAATATGTAAATAAAGAATTTGAAGAATATTTACGAAAAGAGGATATTTTGCATGAACTTTTGGCGCCGTACACACCTCAGCAGAACGGCCGATAAGAAAGAGAAATGAGAACTATGGAGGGAACCGGTAAATACGGCTGTTTATTTGCTAAATAGGACAGCCTTAAGTGAAGTTCAAAATATGACACCACATGAAAAAAATGGTTTGGACGAAAACCGGAAGTAAAACATTTAAAAATTTTTGGGAGCACTGCGTATATGTCAATACCACCTCAATTTCGCAAGAAATGGGATCCGAAATTTAAGAAACTTTTGTTTGTTGGGTATGATGCTTATTCAACAGATTATCGACTGTAGGATCCTGAAAAGAGACGAATTGAAATCAGCTGTAATGTGAAATTTAATGAAAATTAAATTTCCGAGGTTGAAAAAGACAAAGTTAATTTATCTTTG